AGAGGAATGCATGTCACATACCCGGATGGTCCCTTTGCTGCTGCGGTAGACAAACTCATTGCACTGGTGTGGGTGGAATTCTGCAGTGGTGATGACTTCCGTCAGCTCTTCCATGTTAGCAGGCTTGATATCCACAATGTTAGAGATTCTATCTATGATTTCTAAATGCCATAGGTTTATTCTCAGGTCATGTAGAGAAAGATATGTTTCATGATCACTATTTACTGAAATGGAATTTATATGATGTGTGAGCATTTGCAAAAATTCGCCGTGGACTGGCTTCTACCATGAGGTCCATGGGCTTCAATATAGGAACCCATAGTGCTGTAATTCTAAATGGATCTTGAAGTCATACATCTTCATCTTTCAAGTTATAACCTTCCGCTCTTTTATCCCGTTCACTTATTTTCCATAATTTAATAGTTTTATCATTTGTAGAGAGTAGAAAATGAGCAGCATTCTGTTTTGGCAACCATCTAATTTTATTAATTTTTTCTTCAATTTCTAGACTTTTCAAATAGTCACACTCTGGGTTCATGACTTTGAAAAGTACTGTAAACATTATATTCTCCCCTAGAATAAGGATGGCTTTTATTCTCTTGTTCCCGTTGAAAAATAACAACTCTGCTTCGCCGCCTGCTGCGCAAGCGCAAGGACCACAGTTCGATCCCCTGTACCACATAAAAAGAAAAGAAAAGAAAAATAACTCTGCCACCCTTGTCTCCTGTTGCAAGAAGATCTCCAGAGTAATTAAATTCAACAGTTGAAATGATGTCAGCTTCCATCACGGTGCCCTTCACCTGCAAGAAGCACCACCGGAAGTCGTTACTACCCGCTGGGCAGCCACCGCCTCCGGCTCCCGCCATGGCAGCAGCGCGGGACGGGGCCTGCCCAGCCGAGCGCTCCGACAGGAGGCGCCCCGCCGAGCGCTCAGCTCAGGCTGCCGCCACAGCCGCAGCCACCGCGGAAGCAATTTACTATAAATTTAAATGACCAAATTTTTTAGAAGGTGATTCTGGTTTTGGTTTGTTGTTGCTGATTAAGAAATTCTGGCAAATATATAAATTTTACTCCAATAACCAATTTTATAACAGCCAATAGCTTTCTTTCATTTTATTTAAACAAAGGGCAGTTTTTAAAAAAAGGTATACTAAAAGATAATTAATTACAGCTCTTACTGAGAAGCTGTGGATAACATTTTCCTTTAAAAAAAATCGTCACACAGAAATTAGCTTGAAGATAGTGCACTGTTCTTTTCTATCAATTAGGGCTCAGCTCTTTTCCTGTCTCTTTCTTTCTCCCCGTCAACACTTCTGAAATAAATTAACCCATCCTGGAAAAGGCTGTGTCCAAGAGTGAAGAAATGTCTAAGACTTCAAAAATTAAAAAGACATTGTGAGACCAAAGCGACTCCATTTTGCTAAAATCCACTATTCCCCTAGTTTCTATTGTCCTCACAAATTAATGGTTAAAATGTGCATGCTCTGGGACAAAAGACACAATCTGTACCGAAGCAAAGTTCCTAAGTTAATTACTCAACCATCTGTTTGCCTAGGAAAAGAACGTTCCGGGCCCCCTATCCATAGAACAATCTGTAGATGTGCTGACTGTCAGTACGTAATGGTCGTGACTATTAGTGTGTCTGCTGACCATCAGTACGTGACAGTCGACCACTAACCTTTGTCCCTCTTTTCCCCCGTAAAACCTACATGTAACCGCCCCTCAAACCCCCGATGGGCCTAGCCAATCAGAAATGTACACTTCATGCTTGCTAAATGTTAACCAATCATGTAACTGCTAAGTGGAAAATCTCCAAACCTTGCTGTAACCTCTATAAAAACCCCGCTAATTTGAAATTCAGGGCTCTCAATTCTGATCTGCTGCGTCGGTGACAGTTGGGAGCCCCTGCTTGAGCTTGAATAAACGACCCTCGTTTGCTTGCATCGGGAACGGCTTCCTGGTGGTCTTTGGGACTTCGCAATCTGGGCACAACAACATCATGTTCACAGGAGTATCAGTCACAACAGGCAAACTATGAAAAAGCACCCCAAGAGTCCATCAAGGGACAGATAGATAAAATGTGCAACATACTTTTAGTGTGGTATTATACTTATAATGGACTATTACTCAGCCTTTTAAAAGAAAGAAAATACAATTACACAATTATATCTTTTAATTGAGAGGATTTCAATTTTAGAGATAGAATAGCTTGTATCAAACTAGCCTTCCTACAGAAAACTAGCAATCCCAGAAAAAAAAATTAAAGAACTAACTTAAAGCCACTGAAGAGCAATAAAAATTGGCAGAAATCAAAGAGGAATGTACCTTTGAAAGCAGAGAATGATACTAGGTAAGACATGTGCTTATACAACTTTTCCTGCAGGCAACAACAGTCCTAGAGGCACGAACCAGTTTGAACTCAGACAGGTCTGTGTTTTTAAAATTATTATTATTTAAGATAATCAGAAGACAGATGTACAAGGTACCAGAGGTGCTGGAAATAAAGGCAGAGAATACTAAAAACGATGGGGCCATAATATGTAGGCACAAATCCTCAAACCCATTGCTAACTCTGAGCTACATGTGTGGGGTTAAAACTGTAAGACTAGTACAAAGTAACAGCTAGTAGAGTGAAACAGCTGAGCAGATACCTATACTACTGTCTGACATTAAATCTGGCTACTGACTTCCAGGTCTGAGGGGTTCACCTTAGACTAAGAATATAATCCAAATAGACCCAGCCTATAAAACCATTATCTTCAAGGTGATCAGTCAGTAATTAAACTGCACACTAAAACAAAACCAACATTCTTCATAGGAAGATAACAGAATCTAGAATGTTTAAAAAGTACTATTCATATCCTTTAATTAGAATCAAAATAACTACAGATGAGAAGAAACCCAAAAATTGATATAATCAGGAAATAAAACAATGAATAGAAATCAACCCCAAGAATTATCATACAAGGACTTTAAAAGAATTATTATAAATATCTTTAATAAATTAAAGATTAAAGTGGTTATAATAAGTGACAAATGGGAAAATCCCAGCAGAGAAGCAAAACAATGAAGAAAAGAAGAGGAGGAATCAAATAAAAATTCTAGACATGAGAAAAAAAACTTAAAAATTTACTAGATGCATTTAACTACAGATTAGAGGTGACAAGAAAAAATATCAGGGTCAATGAGCAGAAAAGCAGATTAATAAAAATTATCCTATCAAAAGAACAGAGTGAAGAAAGGGTTAATAAATTAGAGTTAAACTTTTACATTTCTACTTAAAAACACCATAAAGAAAATAAAAGGCAATCGACAAACTAGGAGAAAAATATTCACTACACATTTATATAAAAGGACATGAATCCAGAATATAGATTTTTAGCTACAAATTATAAGTTTAAAAGAAAGACTGATATAGTCACAAAGATATTAAAATGATCAATAACACATGAAAAGGTACTCAACATCATAGTTTATAGGGCTATGCAATTTAAATCCACAATAAAATACTATTTCAGACACATCAAAATGATTAAAATAGTAACAATAGGAAGCACTGGTAATAATGTAAAACATCTGAATTTTTTCTCATACATTATTAGTGAGAGTCTAAAAAGATATAATCACTTTGGAATACTGTTTGGCATTTTCTTACAAAATTAAACATAAAGGGCCAGGGATTTAGCTCAGTGGTTCCAACTGCTTGCCAAGCAAGTGCAAGGTCCCGAGTTAGATCCCCAGCACCAAAAAAAAAAATTTAACATAAAACTATCCTATACTCATTCTGATGTATCTGAAATTATATTTGGATTTTGTTCCATTTACTGACATGGTTTAGCACAATATACTAAAATCGCTTCTAGGTATTTCTCAAGGAGAGATAAACATACATCCACAGAAACACTTTTGGCCATTTTATTCACTAAATTTCTAAAAATTAGAACAGCCAAATGTCCAATAGGAGAAAGGATGAGTATATGATGATAAGCTGTGTCAGTACATGTAATACAACAGTAAAGAATAAACTGACAGGGGCGGGATTTAGCTCAGTGGTACCGGACCTGCCTCACAAGTGCAAGGTCCTGAGTTTGATCCCTGGTACCAAAAAAAAAAAAACTTCTCATGTGTAGGTTATGAATAATAAAAGTCAAGTTTTAAATAAGTTTTAGAAAAATCTTTGTACTTTACTAACGTAACAAATATTTTTAAACTTTAATTGCAGTACGAAAAGTTTAAAATTCTATGACTCCATATAATTTCAAAATGTTTCTATACTTTTATAGTAGTATTCATCTTTAAATTTTAATATGGTACAATTCCAGGGACCTATAACAAGTAAAATATACTTGCTTACTTATATATCACTCAGTTCTCTCTTAACTTCTCATCTAACACATTAACCTAAAAAAGTCACTCTTTTCTCTGCACAACAAATTATCAGTGCTTTTAGAAATTCTAATTTAAAAACATCTTTTAAAACCTTAATTTGACCTTCAAAGTAACTGCTTTTTTAAACCTTAATATTTTTAAGTACACTTGCTTATTACCACTTGTAGACATAAAACCATATTGTATTATACACAATCCCCCCTCCAGCCTCCTCTCAAACTTCACTTGTCCTTTCTTCATCCTTCTGTGGGACTATCACTTAATTTGGTTAACTGGGCTGTCCATGAGTGATCCTGCATCCATTAATCCCCAACATACCTTCTCTAGGTTACATCCTAGAAGTTATTTCTTGATATGCTTCATATGGTAGAAGAAGTTCCAACTGGCAGGCTAGTTTCTGTGATCTGGAAATACCTACTCAATAAAATCTAAAATTCTTTCTATTTAACCAGAACAAGGATGTATTTAGTCATCAAATATAAACTCAAGAAAACATTCCTAGTGTTATAGGAAAGTCAAATAAATTTACTAGAGATCATAATTTTCATGTTAGAAGATAATGAATTGCTTTCATTGATAATGAAAGTAATATACTTTCATTTAATCCTTACCTTCTTTCAGAGCTTTGTCCATATTATGAGAAATCACTACCCTTCTAGACTGAACTGTCTCATGTGAGTTTCCACACACAGGACTCTGAAATGTGAGGAAGAAAAAAAAAAGATAAAGATTACTGAATGAATAAATTACATATAAAAATAAAACCAAAGGTATGAAGGATCATCTAAAATTGAAATGTTATGGAAAAGTAAATAAGCACATGAGTTAAGTTAAAAATATATGGAAAAAAGAAGAAAAGATTTCCCTTCATATCATATCATAACTAGAATAAGAATAAGCCAATCAACAGAATGATAGAAAAGTACAAACACACACGTCTCTATATTTGGGAGTTAAAAACAAAATAAGGAAAAATTTGAAATCAAGAGGAAACAAACATACTAGTTAATAAGTGATATCAGAATAAGTTTATATTCATGTGGGGAAAAAGATTACAGTTTTACATTTTATATAAAAGTTACTACAAATGGATTTAAGGACTAAATATTCTCTTACACTAAAAAGACTTAAAATATGGGAGAAGCTGTATCCAATCTTGAGATAGAGAAGGCTTCTTTAAAATAAGGCACAGGGCCAGGGATTTAGCTCGGTGGTTCTGGGCACCTGCCTCACAAGCTCAAGGTCCCGAGTTTGATCCCTGGTACCAAAATAAATAAATAAATAAATAAATAAGGCACAAAATCCAGTTATAAAGGGAAACAAAAAACCAAATATGATTATTTAAAAAATTCCTGTTGAACAACAGAGGCTAGGAGACAATATCTGCAATATATGTGAATAAAAACAACTCAAAGAAAAACCAAGCAGAGAAACTGAAAGGGCAAACATAAAAGATAAATAAATGACAAATAAATCTATAAGAATGCAACCTTTTATTAGAGTAATGACATACCTTCAGACTGCCAAAGTAGTGGATAAATTCACATTGACAAGGATATGAGGAAATGACTGCTTTCATATGTTGCTGGTGAGGGGGAAGCTATCTATTTCTACAAACTTTTAAGAGAGAAACTAAGTTGCTGTTCCTTATTGGAAAGAAAAAATTATCACTATTCCAACTTCACAGATTAACAAATTTTTAAGTAAAGAGGAAAGATAATTGGCTCAATGGTGCCGCTGCCTGCCTCACTAGCATGAGGTACCGATACCAAAAAAAAAATATATATATATAATACCATCTCACAGCTGGGTGGGGCACATGCCTGCAGTCCCAGGTACTTAGGAGGCTGAGTGGATGGATTATTTCAATTTGCATATTTAAGACCAGCCTGGATAACTTAGGGAGACCTACCTCAAAAATAAATAAATAAATAAATAAATAAAAATAAACAAGAAAAGAAACAAAAAGAAAACAAAAACAAAAATCATGGGCCCAAAATAATTGGGTTACTATGCATATAGGTTTCTCCTTAAAGATTTAATATTTATACAGCTGGAATCTCGTCATGCTGAAATGAATTTAAGTTAGCCAACTGCATACTCTTTCAGGTCACAGGACAAATTTTATTACTCAATGTCTCAAGGTGGAGTTTGAGAGAGAAAGAAAGAGAGAGAGAGAGAGAGAGAGACCAAGCTAACTAAAAAAACAAATGTGAGTAAGTTCTTGAAAAATGACTGTCTTCATTATCTACTCATAGGTTTGAAAAAAACCCAAAAACTCCACAGGCAGACTGTCCTAAAGGCTAGTTCCTGAAGGCAAATGTTTATTTTCTCTATCTGGGTTACTAAGGTCCTCATTCTTCAACTAAGGCCTACCTCTTTTGGATAATCATTTTCCTAAAATGCTGTTTTAGGAAAGATGAAAGAAACCCTATGTACTCCTGCTGTCACAAAGGATAAGTGACAGAAATTTTTAATATCCTAGTCCAGAAATTAAGACTTCACATGTAGTCTGACCTCTCACTCTTGCTTTATGATTTTAGTATCCATAACATAATATTAATACATAAAAGCTTTTGGTGAACTACATCACTATTATTTTTTAAAATACATCTTATTTTTTATTTAAATAAATAAAGCCCATCTTTGCTTTAAGATTTAAACCTAGCTTAAAATAAACTTATCAAGATCATTTTTAAGGGGCTGGAATTTAGCTCAGTGGTTTCTGCTGCCTGACCCGCAAGTGCAAGGTCCTGAGTTTGATCCCTGGTACAAAAAAAAAAAAAAAAGAACATTTTTAATCATTCAGTGAGTTCTCTGGAGTAAAACATTAGAGCTCTCAACATATAATTGCTCATTTTAAGAATGTTTTCCAAAGAAAGGGCAAAATCTAATACATGTAACCAGATACTTAGAATCAAGAATGGACATATCAAGGAACTCTTTCCTGAAATACGTCATCAGCTTTTCAGTCTAAAGCCATAATACACTCAAACTGTCTGTGTGTCAAGGCTAAAGATATCCTCTCATGTGGTAGCAATATCTAGAGAGAAATCAAGCAAAGAATTCGCATTATTTTGATACCATTAGCAACTAAACAACCAAAACTATCTGGGATCCAGCCAATACATATCTCACTGCCCAATGTTTTAAGAGGACATTGTTCTCTGGGTTGCTTCCAAGTCAATCCATGAGTTGTATGTAATTCCTCTTACATCTCTTACCTGCATTACTAAAATAAACAAGTGTCTCTCTTCATCATTATGTACCATTATCTTTCTAATTTTTTAAATCTATTCCAGTTTATTATTAAAAGAAAAGGGATTGTACAGGGTTGAAGAACTGATGAATGCAATTTGCTGTAAAGCTGGTGAAATGATGATTTATCCCACAAAAAACAAACACAAACCCCCAATAATCATCATTAACCACATGGAGCTGTCACATGGCTGAGTTTTCCCAAGTATTCTCAGCATCTGACAATCTACTGGGATCTCATGAAAAATGTTCTCATTCTTAAACTGTTAATCTGAAAACTGTGGCTCCTTTCAAAACCCTGGCCTCAAACAATAATTTATTCAAAATCAAAGAAAAGGGGAAAAAAAGTGCTACTCAGAAAGATGAGAAGGGACTAAGAAAAACAAGAACAGTTCAAACCCAAACCTAGTATAAGGAATCATAAAGATCAGAGGAGAAATGAATGAAACTGAGACTAAAAACAACAACAAAACAAAGAACCAATGAAGAGTTGATTCTTTTAAAGAATAAAATAGCCAAACTTACCAAAAGAAGGAAAGAAAAGACTCATATCAATGCAATTAGAAACAAAAAAGGTTCACAACAGCATCAAAAAAAATGAAATACCTAGAAATCAATCTAACCAAGGAAGTAAAAGACCTCTACACTGAAAACTTCAATATTCTTAAAAAGGGGATTGGAAACCATATCAGAAAATGAAAAGATATCCCTTGCTCTTGGATATGAAGAACAATATAGTGAAAATGGCCATACAACCAAAACTGGTATATAGATTCAATGCAATTCCAATCAAAATCCCAACAGCATATCTCACAGAATTAGAAAAAACAATCCTAAAATTCATTTGGAACCAGAAGAGACCTAGAATAGCAAAGGGAATTCTGGGCAACGAAGGCAAAGCAGGGAGTATCACAATCCCTGACTTGAAATTATACCACAAAGCTACTGTGATTAAAAACAGCATGTTACTGGCAAAAGAACAGACCTGAGGATCAATGGAACAGACTGGAGGATCCAGAAACAATTTCAGACATACGCAACCATCTTATCTTTGACAAAGGAGTCAAACACCTTCACTGGAAGAAAGACAGCCTCTTTAATAAATGGTGCTGGAAAAAATGGCTTTCCACATGCCGAAGATTGAAATGAGACCTTCATCTTTCACCATGAACTAACCTAAAATCAAAATGGATCAAAGATCTAAATATTACAACAGAAACACTAAATATTCTGGAAGAGAGAATAGGTAGAACACATGAGGACACAGGAGTAGGCAAAGACTGCATGAAAAAAACCCAGACTGCACAGGAAATACTATAAAGAATGAACAACTGGGACCCCATCTTATTAAAAAGCTTCTGCACAGTCAGAGAAATCACCAAGAGAGGGAAGAGACAACCCACAGAATGGGAAAAAGTTTTTACAAGATACTCAGAAAAGGACTATTATCTAGACTATATAAAGAACTCAAAAAATCAGGACCTCCCCTCACCAAATTTAAAGACCCAATCCAAAAGTGGGCATCTGAAATAAAGTCAATTCTCAGATAAAGAATTAAAAACGGCAAATTAATATATAAAAAATGCTCACCATCTCTGGTCATTTGAGAGATGCAAATTAAAACAATGTTGAGATTCCATTTCACTCCAGAAAGAATGGCTGCTATCAAGAAATCAAGCAATAACAAATGCTAGAGAGGCTGTAGGGAAAAAGGAACCCTCCTCCACTGTTGGTGGGAGTGTAGGCTGGTGCAACCACTGTGGAAATCAGTGTGGAGATTTCTCAAGAAACTGAAAGTAGAGGTTCCATTTGACCCAGCTATACCTCTTCTTGGTGTCTTCCTGAAAGAATTAAAAGCATCACAGCACAGCAATATATGCACATCCATGTTTATAGCAGCACAGTGTGTAACAGCTAAATCTTGAAACAGCCCAAATGCCCATCAACCAATGAATGGATGAAGATGTGGTTCTTTCATACAATGGTGTAACTACTTTCATAAAGAAGGATAAACTAGGGCCAGGGATTTAGCTCAGTGGTTTCGCCACCTGCTGTGCAAGCACAAGGACCTGAGTTCGTTCCCTGTACCAAAAAAAAAGGATAAACTAGAGACATTTCTAGGTAAATGGATGGACCTTGCAACCATACTCTTAAATGAACTAAATCAGACACACACATTTACATACTGCATTCTTTCTCTGGTGTGAGAAACAAAGTGGAAATAAGGACTGAAATGTATAACAGATATTGGGAAATGGGAAGAAAGTGTTCAAATGGGAAAAGGAACAAGGGAGGAGGGAGGGAGAAAGGAGGAAGGGACCAAAAAAAAAGTGAAAATAGAAGGAAAAAATAGAAATAAAACTTTTGTACACAGGGAGGGGAGGGGGCTTGAGAGGTGGAATGGGATAAAATTAAAAAAAAGGAAGGCAAACACAACA